AGCCCAAATTTGGTGGTGCTGCTCAACGTCACAAAACTGTGAGGGGTAGGCTTGGTAAATCTCTCGTACAATATAACATTATTTATAGTCATTTGTAGTTGCCTTATTTCTGTGTAACCTGTCATCTTGTTGGACTTTCTCTTACAGGTGGATGGAACAGATCTGTTTCACTTTGTTGAAAGACATACAACATGGGGTGATTATTTAACAGACATGGAGCAAGATGGCACCTGGGGTGATCATTTGATTCTCTGGGCTGCTGCAAACTGCTATAGAATAGCCATTCATGTGATTAGCAGTCTTGCAAATAACAGTGAGATAATCATTAACCCAGATTCTCCATTGGATAAAAACAAGCATCTTATACTGGGACATGTCCATGAAGTACACTATGTCAGCCTTCAGCCCTTGCAAGGTAAAGTTCACAAAATAGCATAGTTTTGAACCTAGCATTTCTATGAATTTTGCAAACAGGATATTTTAATAGGATGACTATTATAATTATGTATGCATTCTCCAAGACTAGTGTATTTTAATCCTTTACATGTACACTGTATATGCAAATAACCATTTCATGAAGCTTGCAGAGCTGATTGTTTTGAATTATCTTTGATGTGAATGGACCTCTTTAGTGTGTATGTCTTGTTTACTTATTTCAGGTCACATAATAGTACTCTAGAAACCTGTTCCTTTCTTTGCTGGTCCCATAATTTAATGAATAGTGATTATAACAGTAGTTGCAATTGTGATCCATAACAATTTTTTCATTAAAACAAAGAGTTATTGTAAGTCAGATGATAACCAGAGAACTAAACTATTACATAAACTGATTTGAAAATGTATAACACAAGGTCTTGCTTGATTTTATTAATATAAAATTTCAAATTTATTAGGTCTGTTAGAACATCTTTTACATAATTATTAAGAAAGTCAGTCTATATTATGTGGTTCCTCCACTTCCACTATCATAATCTTGATCCACTAGTCACTGCTGTTGCTAATTGTTGTTAAGGATTACTACCATTTTGGTAAATGTAGGTTTATCCGAAATCAGAACAACTACATATATACCATACGGGAGGTTTAAGAGACCAGTATCTGTCAGTGCAGATCAGCCTCACAAGCAACTCAGGAAAGAATTATCTCTTCATGACCATTGCAAAGGTAAATTGCGAGGACACAAGGTGAATAATCCAATTAAAGTGCCCTCTGTCGTTTTCAGCTGATGAAAAAATTATTTGTTAAAATAGGTTGGTACTTTACAGGCATTTTTGGGGACAATCTCCTTGTTATCCTGTTTGTGTAGAGTCAGGTCTTTTTGTCAGTTATGAGAGATCAAGTTTACCTGTTAGTTTATTAGTTTGAACAACCAGACCATTTTCATTGACATTATACAATGGGAAATTATTGCTTGATTTAGAAATTGCATTACCTTAAATACCTTTTACTAGTCAAACCCAATCAGAGTTAATTCTTCCATAGCATTGTGATAACAATATAAATATTTAGTAAATCTCACAATTTACAAGAAAAATGTTTTAAGACATGTTTTGGCATTATTCATTCTATCATCAGTTTAAGTCACTGTAGAACTGTTGACTTTTTTGTATGTCTTATTGACACCTTTGCATTACTTCAGGTGTAACCTTTATAATAATAATAATAATAATAATAATAATAATAATAATAATAATAATAATAATATGGTATTTCTGACCGCTTGCAGCCTAAGGCTGAATTAC